CAAGATAAATAATAAGAAAACTTCACTGGCTACTGTGATGGTTAGTTTTGTTTGTTAACCTGACTGGGTGAAGGGATGCCCAGAGAGCTGGTGGTTTCAAAAGAGGTTCACATCTGAATCAGTAGAGTGAGTCAAGAAGATCTGCCCTCACCAACGTGGGTGGGCACCATCCAACCACTGAGGGCCCAGATAGAACAAAAATATAGAGGAAGGGCAGACTGTCTTTCTTTTCCTAAGCCTGGACATCTATCTTCTCCTTCTTTCAAACATTAGAGCTCCTGATTCTTGGGATTTTGGTCTCTGAGACTTATACCAGTGGCCGTAGTTCTCAGACCTTTAGTCTTGGTCTGGGAGTTGTGCTACTAGCTGCCCTGGTTCTCAGGCCTTCTTATACAGACTGGCTTTCCTGGTTCTCTAGCTTGCAGGTGGCAGATCGCAGGATTTCTTGGCCTCTATAACTTTGTGAGCCAATTCCTATAATAAATATGCCTGCACTTACATCTATGTCTATACCTCATTATGTCTATGTCTGCATATATTCTACTGTTTCTGTTTCTCTGGAGAACTCTGACTGATACACCTGCCTATAGTGTGTAGAGGGAACAAATCTCAACATAATAAAAGCTACTTATGACAAACCCACAGCCAGCATAGTACTCAACGGTGAAAAACTCAAAGCCTTCCCACTAAAATCTGGGACAAGACAAGGATGCCCACTCTCACCACTTCTATTCAACATAGTCTTGGAAGCCCTAGCCACAGCAATCAGGCAAGAAAACAAATAAAAGGGATCCAAATTGGAAAAGAAGAGGTAAAATTGTCACTATATGCAGATGACATGATACTATATATAGACAACCCTAAAAGCCCCACCAAAAATTACTAGAGCTAATAAAAAACTTCAGCAAGGTAGCAGGATACAAGATTAACACACAAAAATAAGTTGTATTTCTTTACCCTAACAATGAATAAACAGGAAAAGAAAGTAAAGAAACAATCCTTTTTAAAATTGCATCCAAAACAATAAAATACTTAGGAATGTATCTGACCAAGGAGGTGGAAGACTTAAACATGGAGAACTACAAAACATTGATTAAGGAAATTAAAGGTGACTTAAAGAAATGGAAAGATATCCCATGCTCTTGGATTGGAAGAATCAATATCGTTAAAATGGCCATGCTGCCCAGTGCAATCTACAGATTTAATGTGATCTCTATCAAATTACCCAGGACATTTTTTTACGGAACTGGAACAAATGATCCTAAGATTTATATGGAATCACAAAAGACCCAGAACTACCAAAGCAATATTGAAGAAAAACATCAGAGATGGAGGAATAACCCTCCCAGACTTCAGACAATACTACAGAGCTACAGTAATCAAAATAGCATGGTATTGGCATAAAAACAGACATATGGATCAATGGAACAGAATAGAGAGCCTAGAAATAAACCCATACACCTATGGTCAGTTAATCTTCAACAAAGGAGGCAAGAATATACAGTGGAGAAAAGACAGTCTCTTCAGCAAGTGGTGTTGGCAAAACTAGACAGCCACATGTAAATCAATGAAGTTAGAACACTCCCTCACAGCATACACAAAAAACCCTCAAAATGGCTTAAAGACTTAAATATAAGACAAGACATGATAAATCTCCTAGAAGAAAACATAGGTAAAACATTCTCTGACATAAATCTTAGCAATATTTCCATTGCCTAGGAGACTAGAGCAGTCTACCCAGGCAATGGAATTAAGGACAAAAATAAACAAATGGCACCTAATTAAACTCAGAAGCTTTTGCACAGCAAAGGAAACCATAAGCAAAACAAAGTGACAACCTCTGGAATGGGAGAAAATATTTGCAAATGATGTGATTGACAAAGGCTTAATTTCCAGAATATATAAGTATCCCATACAACTTAATAAGTAAAGTGTACTATGAATAGGTTTTTGAATTCATAACCAAGAAGCTACTTTACACTGCAGCATAAGGAAAGGAAAGTTTAAGCTGAGACCTAAACCATTAAAAGGAGATAAACAACTAAATTTCTGCTAAAATAGCTTATAATAATTTTTTTAAATTTTTAAATGACACAATGAGCCTGTTCCTAGATCCAAAGGCAGAAATGAAATCAGTGGGGTCAAGGAATGGAAACAGAAACACTATTGTGCTGCTGAGGTACCAGTGAAGTGAGGGGAGAGAGACAGGCCCAGAAGTCAGATGCATGGGAAAAGGGCACATCATACAAGGCAGAGCAGGCCAGGATGGGGTTGTTTCTCATTTTAACTGTACTGGGAAGCCATTCCAAGATTTTAAGTAGGGAATCACATGATACAGCTATTTAAAAAATACGTTATTCTGGCTGTACTTTTTTATAATGTACCATAGAGAGGTGAGATAAAAAGGTAGCTTAGAGATTAATCAGTAAAATCAATAAGCCTTCATAGCAATACAGGCAAAAAAGAAGAGAAATTGGGACAAGGACGATAGAAGTACAAATGCTAAGAAGTAGATCCATTTGGAATGTATTTTAAGGTCAACACTGCAGTCTCGAGATGCTACTGCACAGTGTTCTTCAGCTTCCTCCACGTCCCCAGCCCAACCTTTGCCCCAGCTGTTTATTTTCCTCCTTTAACATAATCAAGATACGTGAGCAAAAATCCTTGCCTTAGGCCCGAGTGCAAACTTAGGCCTTAGGTGCACAGAGTTGACTATTCTTTCTTTATGGTAGTTCAGAGTTAGTCAAAAAAAAAAAAAATCAAGATCGTTCTGGCAAAGCATTTGTTGTTTAGGAAATGTTGGTGCTTTCATAAAACAAAGACATCATTTAATTTAAGCCACTCATTTTATACATGAGTACATGTCAGCTCCAAAAGGGAGTGCATTTATCATGTATGACCGCCTATCCTCAGCATGTATCACTTTGCTGTGGCACAGTACTGATACATGCTCAACAATGTATTTTTCAGAAGCCAAGATAACATCCCTTATTAGTGTCAGGGCCGGAACTGTAATGTGAGTCTCTTAACTTCAAAGAAGATCTCTTAAATCCTTTTTTCCCTCCCTTCAAATTCAGGAGATTGAATTTCTTCCAATCTGGAATCTCAGGCTCTGTTACGGTCTTGAATCCAGCTGCAGAACTCATGTGGGAGATAGATTATTATGATTTTTTGTCATAATCTTTTATTTAAAGAATAACCTTTAACATTTGAAGCACCTAGTTATCTCTGTTTTACCGCATAATAGCCCCAAGAGGTAGTGCTTATACCACATCTCACAGATGAGGGATCATAGGCTCACAAGGTTGTGTCAGCTTCTCAAGGTGACAGAAATAGAAGGTGTCAACAGCAAATTTAATTCTAGAACTGTCTGACACCAAATCCTATACTTATAAACACTATGCCAAGAGATAACTCACAGTACCCCAAGCTTTTGATTGAAAATAGTTTGGAAATCAGCATCTCAGTTTTCATTTTATTTTTAACTCTTGCCATTGGAACACATATATAAAATTGTTAAATGCCAAAATCAGCCCTGCCTTTTCTCCTTTATCATTTCTATTAGTGCTCATTTGTTCCATTCTTCACTATCTAAGCCTTAAAAAAAAAAAGGAAGAATTTTAGATACAGAGAAAAAAATATTAAATTTACATTTATGTGCCCCAAATCCTGATTAAGAATTGAATGAAATGTTACCAAACTGTTAAGGCTCTCTGCATAGTTCCTATGGACATAATCCACTAACTTCACAAAGTAGCCATCATTCTTAATTAGGTGGTTATCATTCCCATGGGATTTTACATTAAAAAATGTTTATGTGCAGGATTTATAACCAGTGGATATGAAACAGACAATACAATCATAACAGGTTTTGGTTTTGTTCTGCATACTATTCTAAATAGGCTGTTAAGTAGAAACAAATCTGAACATAGCTAAAGGAAAACTATTTGAAAAGACTATCACAAAAGGAAGAACACTTAGACCTTGAACTCTGCAAGCATCTCAAAATCAAACAGAAAACAGCTTTTCTTTTTTGGGGAGTAGTAAGCAGGGTCAGCAAGAACTTTGAGGGGAAATCACTCAAGCAGGTGGGGAAGAGCAGAGAGGATGACTGAGCTGATTTAACAGGAAATGTTTCTTGCTGTGGCCAGCTGATTGTCAGAATGAGTATATACTGCCTCTTTGTAGCTGCTTAAAATTGGGAGTAAGCTAAAGTTCACAGGACTACAGGGAAGGGAGATGCCTAATTAAATTCTGGCCAAACCACATCAGTGAGTAAGTAATAAGCAACTGTACACAATTGGTCAGCCCCTATGTTGTTTAAGATGGGCAAAGTCTGTCTAAATATTATTAGAAATGGAATAGGAGTCACTATGAAATTGAGATTTCCAGTGGTGGTCTGGCCTTAACTTTCTTCTTGGCCTTGAAGGACTAGTTTTATCATCTGCTGATCATGTTGTAGGGCCATCTTAGAGATCATGGAACATCTAAGCGATTTCACAAGAACTATGCCTAAGAATAGAAGAAAGGAGGAGTCTACAGAGATAGCAATACGAGGCATCTAAGATTCCCCTCCTGACATGAACACACCGAATATACAGCTACACACGGAGCAATTCTCTCCAGAGAATAGCTGAGCAACTCCTACACATCAGACAAATGGGAAACCATCCACATCAAAATGGCAGGCCCTAGGGACTGACTGTGATTCTACCCAGAGACCAGGAATGCTGACAGACACCACTCCTGCCTTCTCCCTCCAGCCTGCTCCACATCACCAGAAAATTCCTGGTAGAAGCTTGTCTAAACATCTGCATACCAGCTTTTACAGCTGCTGCCAAGGAAGAGTTTCCTAAATGTCTGGCTCCGGAGCCAAAGGGACTTCTGTTCATGAGTCCCAGTCCTAGAGAACTATAGCAACAAAGAAGCAATTCTTTTTAAAAAAATTATTTTTGTCGAGTTTTATTGAGATGTGATTGACATATAGCACTGTTCAAGTTTAAATTATGAAACACATCACAAATTTGCATGTCATCCTTGTTCAGGGGCCATGCTGATCTTTTCTGTGTCATCCCAGTTTTTGGCATATGTACTGCCTAAGAAGGCACCAAAGAAGCAATTCTTGAACCAGTTATCCCACCAGGGCTCAGCATAGAGGGAATAAGCAAAATCTCTCATTTCCTAGTCTTTCCCCGAAGTCTTCATAAATTTTTTAAAAGACTGATATCTTATTAAGCATGTTTTCCAAACACAACGGTATGAAACAAGAAATCCATTACAAGAAAAAAACTGGAATATGAAAAAATATGTGAAGAGTAAACACCCTCCCGAACAACCAATGAGTCAGAGAAAAATCCAAAAGGGAAATCAAAAAACTATCTTGAGAGAAATGAAAATGGAAACACAACATACCAAAACTTATGGTGTGCAACAAAAGCAGTTCTAAGAGGAGAGTTTATAGTGATAAATGCCTACAATAAGAACAAGAAAGATATCAAGTAAACATCCTGACTGTAGTCCTTAAAGCACTAGAAAAAGAAGAGCAAATTAAGCCCAAAGTTTGCAGAAGGAAATAAATAACAAGTGTTAGTGTAGAAACAGAGACTTAAAAAAACTGAAAGGATCAATGAAACTAAGTTGTTTTTCCTAAAAGATACATAAAATTGACATACTGCTGGCCAAACTTACAAGGAAAAATGATGAAGACTCAAATATAAAATTACAGATGAAAGAGGAGATATTACAACTGGTACCACACAAACGTTCATGAGGGACTGCTATGAACACTTACACATCAGCAAAGAAGAAACGGATCAATTCCTAGAAACACACAATCAACAAGGACTGAATCATGAAGAAACAGAAAAATCTGAACAGAATAATTATTAGTAAGAAAACTGATGCAGGAATCAAAAACTTCCCAACAAAGAAAAGCCTAAGACCAGATGGCTTCACTGGTGAATTCCTCCAAACGTTTAAAGAGTTAATACCAAACCTTCTCAAACTGTTCCAGAAAATCAGAAGAGGGAAGAACATTTCCAAACTCATTTCAGGAGACCAGCATTAGCCTGATTTCAAAGCCAGACAAGGACACTATAAGAAATGACAGGTTAATATCCCTAATAGATATAGATTTTAAAAAAATCCTTAACAAAATATTAGCAAATTGAATTCAACAGTACACTAAAGGACCATACATACACCTGGGCCAAGTGGGACTTACTCCTGGGATGCATTATGATTCCACATCACAAATTATAAATGTGACAGACCACGTTACGAAAATGAATAATACAAATCATCTAGTTGTTTCAGTTGGTGCAGAAGCATTCCACACAATTCAACATAACATCCTTTTACGATAACGATTCTCCAAAAACTGGTATACAGGGAATGTACCTCAACATAATAAACACCGTCTGTGACAAACCCACAGATAGTATCATAGTCAACGGTAAAGTGCTAACAGCTTTTACTCTAATATCAGGAAAAAGACAAGGATGTCCACCCTCATCACTTTCATTTAACATAGTACAGGAATTCCTAGTCAGAGCAATTAGAAAAGAAAAATGAATAAAGGGCATATAAATTAGAGAGGAAGAAGTAAAATGTCTCTGCAGATAACATACTATTATATACAGAAAACCCTTAAGTCTCCACCAAAAAACTGTTAGAACTAATCAACAATTTCAGTAAAGTTGCAATATATAAAAAACCAGTGTTATTTCTGTACATTAACAGCAAACTATCCAAAAAATAAATTAGGAAGATATTCCCATTTACAATAGTATCAAAAATAATAACATTCTTAGGTATAACTCTGAGAAGGTGAAACATCTGTGCACTGAAAACTATGAATCATTAGTGAAAAAAATTAACGAGGACATAAATAAATAGAAAGGCATTTCATGTTCGTTGATTGGAAAAAATATTGTTAAAATGTCCATATTACCCCTCCAAAATCTACAAATTTAATGCAGTCTGTATCAAAAATCCCAATGGCATTTTTCAGAGAAATAGGAAAAAAAAATCCTAAACATTGTATGGAACCACAAACGACCTCAAATAGCCAAAACAATTTTGAGAAAGAAGAGTAATGCTGGAGGTATCACACTTCCTGATTTTAACTGGAAAGCAACATGCAAATGAATAAAGTTGGGCTCTATCTTACACCATCCACAAAAATTAAACTGAAATGGATTAAGGACTTAAATATAACACCTGAAACCATAAAATTCCTAGAAAAAAATAAAACATAGTGGGTAAGTTCCTTGACTTTGGCCTTGATGTTGATATTTTGGATTTGATGCTAAAACAAAGGCAACAAAAGCAAAAATAAGGAGGAGGATTTATCCAAACTAAAGATCTCCTACAGAGTAAAGGAAACCATCAATAGAATGGAAAGATAATCTTTGGAATGAGAGACACTATTTACAGACCACAAAGCAGACAAGGGGATAATATCCAAAATATATGTGGAACTCATGTAACTCAACAGCTGAAGAAACAAACAGCCTTAACAAAAAATTGGCAAAAGGACCTAAATAGATTTTTTTCCCCAAAGAAAACAGAAATGATCAATAGGTACTTGAAAGGGTGTTCAATATCATTAATCATCAGGGAAATGCAATTCAAAACCACGATGAGCTATCACCTCACAGCTGTTAGAATCTCTATGATTAGAAAGACAAGAGACAAAAATGCTGGTGAGAATGTGGAGAAAAAGGAATCTCTGTACACTGCTGATGGGAATATAAACTGGTACAGCCACTATGGAAAACACTGTGGAGGTTCACCAAAATTAAAAATTGAATGATCATATGATCCAGCAATTCTACTTCTGAGTATATATCCAAAAGAAATGAAATCATTATCTTGAAGACGTATCTGCACTCCCATGTTCACCACAGCATTATTCACAATAGCTATAGTATAGAAACAATCTAGGTTTCCATCAACAAATGGAAGAATAAAAATTATCATACACAGACAGACATACATTCACACACACTCTATAGAACATTATTCAGCCTTAAAAAAGAAGTAAATCCTGTTATTTGTGACAACATGGTCCAGGATGAAAATGAAAGGCATTCTGCAAACTGAAATAAGTCAAATGGAGGAAGACAAATACTACATAATATCAGAAGTCATGGGGTAAGGAGCACATTGTACAACACCCATACATACATACAAAAGAATGTGTTTGAAAATTAATGAGTATTAAAATATGAGTATGATTGGAGGATTGAAAGAAATCAATTAAGAAGATTCAGAACATTGGACCCAAAGCGTCCTTAGATGGTAGAGTGAGGACAGCAGTGGTGATGCAACAAATTTCCTGGTTTGTGGTCTAAACATTTTCAGTTATGGCATAGATGACAGAGTTTTCTGGGAACATATACACAGTAGTCACTGTGACCGCTGCACAGGTGTATCCTTGGGAAACCAGAATCATGGCCAATGCCTTATGATTGCAGTGTACCCTCCTCTGGAGTTCCTGTGGATCTTTGGTGATGATGTTGATTTTTTTGGTAAGACTGTCCAGATTCTGATTATTTCCCAGAGCAGAGTATATAAATTGCAGAAGTTCTAGTGAACTTTCTGTGGGGACCATATGGCAACTGCAAGAGGCACAAAGGTTCCCCATCTGCTATGATAGTCAAATCTTCTGGGTTTATTCCAAATTTCTTAGCCTCTTATTCTAAATCTTTTTGGGTGGGTACACTGTGAGAAAGGAAGGTCACAGACTCCTTTCAGTGCTGGAATTTTACACCTAAGTTTGTAGCTGTAACATCCCATTATAGCCTTTTGGATCACCTAATATCTAGAAAGTTTATATCGGAGGTCATTGAGTATTTCAAGTGAGACAAGAAGATAGTCTGGTGAAAGATTTGGTAAGGGCTAGTTAGATTAGCTAGATAATAATTCCTGCCAATTAACAGGCAGATACAATAGGCATTAATTAGCATAAATAAAATATGTCTCACGGGGACCTATTCAGAGTTCAGGGAAATGAATGCCCCATGTGTTTGTATTATGAAATTTATATGAGCCATTTTGATGGAGATGATGTCCCAACTCTTAATTTTGTAGAAAATCCTTTTTTGTGTGTGTATAAGTCAGGGGAGTCTCCTATTATAACATGTAAGTCAGATACAGACCAAGGGTTAGAAGTGATTAGTTGAGGAGAAGTTGACTGAAGTCATTTAACTTCTCTTCCCCTGGGTCTGAATACTAGGGGAGCACCACCAAGGTGTTGAGTAATTTTAGAAAACTGGGGAGCAGGAAAAACAAGATGAGGTTTGGGGAGGGGTGTGTAAAGACAAAAAGGGTCAAGACACGGTGTTGGTGGAGACAAGGATATGTTTGGAGGAGCAGAATGATAAGAAGAGGGGACATAGGGAAGCGGGAGTGTCTTTGAGGTTGGAAAGGCTGTGGGATTAACAGCTGAGGAGGACCGGTGACTGCTGACACACTGAATACCTTAGACAACGCACACCGGGATTGTTGGATGGCCTGAATAAGATCAGACTGAGAAGGGTGTTTTTCTTTTTTATACCAGGAAAAGTAAGCAAACCATTTTTGAGAAGAGATTTTGGAATACTGATGTCCAAGGGCCCTCTGGAAACAAACCAGTTTGGGAAAACTCCAAGAACCCTTCCTCTCATAAACAATGCCACTATGAGCATTTTCTGCTTCTCTTCCTGTGTGTGAGTCAAAGTTTCTCAAAATGATAAATCTAGGTGAGAATTTCAGTCACCAGAACCAGGACCTTTAACTTCACTAGATTTTGCAGCTACATTTTGAAAATGATTGTGCCAGTTTTATTTTCACCATAATAAGATTTACACTTGACTCAGATCCTCGTAACATTTAGTATTGTGAAACTTTATATTTACTCAAACTGAGAACTTTAGCTATAAGATGGTCTCTCACTGCTTGTGGTTTTATTTTTGTTTTCCAAAGAGGATGAACATTTTTTTTTCTCAGATACCTTCTTAATAGTATTACCTATTTCATATTTTCTGCAGGATCTTTTATAATTTCCTTATACTTTTGAGGCAATTCTGAGCATACGGTAAATGTGAAATCATTGCAGGTTGTA